GTCCACCGAAGCAGAAAGGAGCTGTGACTCTGCACCACCACAGCTGGGAAGAACAGCTGGTGTAGTGCAAGGCTGCCCCACGGCACGATGGCCACCAGGGTTATTTTGGCCTTACATCCCTGTCACTGAAATTGGCAGTAGGAAGAGCAAAGACTCCAGAGAGTTTTCTTCACTCTTGCCCCAAAGAGACAGAATGCAAGGCTTTTGATATGGGGCCCCAGCCCAACTTTAGGAAAGCAGCACACAGGGGAGTGAGGGCAGGGCAAGTGGGGTATTCCCTTCTGTCCTGCTCTTCTCTATCTCCCTCTTGCACTCTTGTTGGTAGGGAAGATGATGCAGCTGAGGGAACCACCTGTGATCCTACTTCCCTGCTTACAGCCCAGTTTCTACCATGCAATAAAATGTTTTCTGTTACAAGAACATTGCCCACCCAAGCCCTCAAAGTAAAGGGTTGCCAACATAACACACATACACCCACACAGTGACACCCAGCAAAAAGACTTCCTTAGGAGCAAGAGCTATATTCCTTTGGACACAAGTAAAAAATACTGCCTGCCTCCTCTGAGGGTGACAAGAAAGCTACAGTTCAGTGGCACACAACCCCAGGATGGCATCAGAGCTCACACTACATTTAACTTGATGCTGCTGGGCAGCCCGTGGTCTGCTGCCCCCTCTTCCCTGCAGAAAGGAGAGCAGCTGGCAGAGACTGACAGGACTGCAGAGTCCACATCTTGATCGTGGAGCACCAGTTCCTCACCTGTGAAGCACTTGCAGATGTCTTCGTGTGTCACATATGCTAATGTTTCCAAGGTTAAGGAGAAGGGCTGCAGCTTCCTGCACAGGCAGAGAGCTCAAAGGACACCTGGCCTTTCCTTCCCAAGCACGAGGAATGCCACTCCCAGAGGGTCTCCATGCCACACTGACGTGGTCTGCAAGCTACATGCTATCCTGAGATAGCTGAGCCACAAGAGCAGCTCTGCTCTCAAGAAAGTGCCACCTGTGACTCAGAAAGAAGCACTTTTCTCACCGTGGTAAACATGACAGTGTTTTTTGCTTCCACAAGACAGAGGAGAAGCTGTGCACTGCAGAGAAAGCAGGTTCCCAGGCTGGACAGTTAGCCAAATTCCAAAGCCAGGCACTGCCTTTCAACTCTTGCAGTGCAGCTTCTCCAGCAGCAACAGCTCCCCACCAACCCAACCCTCAGGTCTCCGCTTTCCAGCCCGGCAAGCGAACGTGAGTTCACACAAAGGATATCGACTGTTCTGCATGTCTTCTGTAACGTTTTTGATGCTCTGCTGAACCCACATCTTCTGCTGCTCCAGCTCCTGCTCCCGCTGCTCCAGGTCCTCTATGTCTGCCTTCAGCTCGATCAGTTTGTGAGCTATTTCCCGGGTGTTGCAGCCAGGACCCACCCCTCTGGGCAAAGTGAAAAGGAGCGAGATGCATCAGCCTCTGGAGGCAACCAAAACACCCCCAAACTCTCAGAGATGTTTCCAGCCTCTTACTGTCACCCCTCACAATATCAAGGACAGATTGCCTGGAATGCCTCATCTGTGCCTGCTCTAGATCCTCCCCTTCCATGAACATCAATGTTTCTACAATGCATTTTTCTACTTCCCACAGACCAGCAGGGTTCTTCCCCATCTCCAGTGCTCATGACAGGCATCTTTTCCAGCCCAAGGTACTGTAAATATTTAGTTAGCACCAAAATAACAGCTCTGCTGCAGGAGACATGCCGTACATATTTCAGCTCCCCTCACTGCTGCCGTCAGCACAGCCCAGCTGGGGGAAGCACAGGCACGGACCACTGAGGAACCTCCCTCTGCACAGGGCATTTTAACCCCACTGTCACTCAGCCCTGCACTGGAAGGGACCTGTGAACGATTTAGACCATCTCTGCCACTCACTTCCACTGGATACTGTTCTTGGATTTCTTCTCGATCAGCCCGATGCCTTCCAGCACATTTGTGATATCGTAGATCCGTCGCTTCTGTCGCACAGCCAAGGTATCCGCAGCCTGCAAAAAAGGTTAAGACACTCAACTCCACACTCTCAGTCATGCTGAGCTCCTTCCTGCCTGTCAGACCAACTCCTGGCCAAGTACTTCGCTCCCCATCTCATACCTCTGCTGTTCCAGCGCTTCAAGTTACAGAGATGTAACTTGTCACAATGTCATGGGATCATGGGAAGAAGTCACTCATCCTTCGCTCCTTTTCTTACCCTGCAACCTCCCAACTAAACACAAACCAAGTTCCAGCCATACTACTCACACTGGATCCAAAAAAATCACCGTTCCACAGCTGCAAAGCAGTGCTAGAAAACACCAGTTCAGCAGCCTGAAAATTCAGTGCTCCTTCAGGGTAAAAGAGATGGGGATGGGAAGGAGAATGCTGAGGGCTGTCTGCGTGACTGACAACGGTTCTGTGAAGTCAATATTCAAAAGGCCTTTTCTAAATCAGATCTGACGTTGCATGATAAAGAACACTTTTTTCAAGAGGCACATGAAAAGGTACAATTTTTCCACTGTTTAAAAGACAGGATGCCAGGTGGAGAGCAAGCATGAGCAGCCCTGGGGTTTCCCCGCCTTGCTCACACAACTCTCCTCCCCTCAGGTTTTGGGACACGAAGAACTGCACCGTTTCCCCTACTACACAGTAACCTGGCACCAGCAGGAGTTAATGTGTGCACAGCCAGGACCAGCAAAGTCAGTGGCAGCAGCCAGAGCGGGTCAGCACAGGAACCACATCCCTCCTCACTCACCAGTAACGAGCTGGGACTTTGCAGACTCCACACTGCACAACTGAGCAAATCACTCTGACCAACATGAGCCCACCTAATGGACATCTGAAGCAGGAAAATATTGCCAAATATTTTGAGAGACAACAATTTAGCCCCTGCATCATCAGGGCTTTCTGGCACTTTGCTGCCTGTGGAGGGTCAGAGCACTTGCACACGTGCCCAAGTGAGAGGTATTTGCATAAACCATAGCAAAGGAACTTCACCTATAGAAAAGGCCAGGGATTAGTTACTTCCTCTAGGTGAAGATCTTAAAAGATGAAGAAGCAAGATGCATTCACAGAGCACTTCTCCCCAGGCTAAAGGCATCGGGGACAACCCTCGGCAGGTGAATGTGACCACGCTCCCCCTCCTGGTGTTTGCCGGGAGGTCTAAGCGCTGCAGGGAGGAACAGTTTCCGTAGGTCTCGGAGGTTTTAAAGGGCTGGATCATTATAGTGCCTCTGATCAAGCAGCACCTTGCTGAGGGGCAAGAGGGCAGAAGGGAACGAGGCAGTCAAACCTCAGTCAAATGAAGCACACAAACAATTGCAACGCGAGGCAAGGTTCCGGGGAAGGCAGAGCGGCTGGGACAGCCCGATGGGGTGGGCAGAAGGGCTGGGATGGAAGAGCAAGGAGAGGCGTGAGGGCTGCACGGCTGGCAGCTCTGCTGCACCCCCGGGGACCCCTTCCCTGCCCCTGGAACCACAGGACTGGAAAAATCCTCCAAGACCACCGAGCCCAACCATTAACCCGGCACCACCAATCTCACCGCTAAACCTCGTGCCTAAGCGCCGCATCCACGCGGGTTTTGAACGCCTCCCGGCGCGGTGACCCCACCGCTGCCCTGGGCAGCCGCTTCCAGCGCCCGGCCGCCCTTCCCGTGAAGATTTTTTTTTTTTCCCCCGGTCTCCAATCTCAATCACCTGCTGCACCGGGGCGCTGCCGTGCCCGCGGGTTCCCCCTTTCCAAGCCCGCCCCGGTCCCGCCGGGGTCCCGCTCCCCCCGGCAGCAGCAGCAGCAGCAGCAGCAGCAGCAGCTCCCCCCGGACCCACCCCCGGGGGCGGCGGAGCCCTCGCCCCCCGCCGGCAGCCCCCGCACCAGCTTGAGGTCGAGCACGCCGTCCTTGGCCTCCTGCAGCAGCGACACGAACTTGGTGGTGAGCAGCCCCAGGCTCTTCTCGTGCCGGCTGGGCGCTCCCGCAGCGCCGCCGCCACCGCCGGCGGGCTGAGCCCCGCACTCCGCCATCTGCCCGCCGCCGGCTCCGCGGCCGCGCATCCGCTTCCGGGCCGCGGGGCTCCCCGGGAACCTCCGGGGCGGGGACGGGGCGGGACGGGACGGGGGAACTCCCCGACACCTCCTCCGTGGGGTGAGGGAGGGGGGAGTGCCGGTCCGGGCATCCTCCAGGCGCGGGGAGCGCGCTGTGCCCTCGCCGTGCTGTGGTACCAAAGCCAAACCTCCCGCCCTGTGCCCGGTGACAGGGGCGGTTTGTGTGCTCCAATACACACACAGAGGAATCCTCCACACTGGGAATCCTCCAGCCTGTGCCTCGTGGAAGGCGGTTTGTGGCAGGGGGGATATCCCCGGCTCCATCCCCAGCCGTGGAGGGTCCATCCCCGCTCCCACGCCCTCTCGCCCTCGGGTGAGGCTGGCACAGGGGATCCCTTCCCAGCTGGTCCAGCCTTCGGGGGGCTCCCACCAGGGACGGGCTGAGGTCTGACAGGGGCACCCGGGCATCCCGCTGCCCTCCCCGAGCCGGCGCCGGGAGCACCGAGAGGGGCTGTGTGTCCGGGGGAACAGGGATGCAGGGGAGGGCACGCAGGCTGTGACTTCCAGGGCCGGAGGAAACAGCCTCAAGTTGAGGCTCCCCTCAGGAGGGGGTTAGATTGGATATTGGGAAAAATATCCTTCGCGCAAAGGGTGGTCAGGCACTGAACAGGCTGCCCGGGGAGTCACCGTGCCTGGAGGGGCTCGAAAGGCGTGAGGATGTGTCACTTGGGAACACGGTTTAGTGGTGGGTTTGTCAGTGCTGGCTTAGCGGTCGGACTCGACGATCTTGGGGCGCTTTTCCAACCTAAACGATCCTATGGTCGGCACTCCCGAGACCTGCGGCTGTCGCGGTGCCTTCCCGTGTCCCCCCTCCCCTCCCCTCCGCCCCCCGTTCCTGACGTCCTGAGCGCGGCTGCGGGAACACAATGGGGCCCTGAGGAGCGCGGCTGCTCCGGCTGAGGAAACGGCTGCCGGCTTCCTCCGCAGCCCTGCCCTGGCCCCCGCAGCTCCATCCACGCAGCCCGGACACCATGGGCATGTCTGCGGAGGACGGGCGCGCCGCCAGCCCCAGAGGTAACGGGGGTGGTGCGCCCCGGGGAGCGGGCGAGCTGGGCAGGGGAGGGATGCTACTGCTTGCTGCACGTTCTGGGGGCTCCCCTGCCCTCTGCCTCACCAGCCCCTGGACCTTTTCCCTGTGCCGGGGGCTGGTGCCTCGTGTTGTTGGGTGGGGTGGAAGCCTGGCTGTGCTTCCCGATGGTGATATCTGTGCCGGGGGCAGCGCTGCTCCCTGCGCATCTTATCCCCGAAGCTGCTGTCCTCCTCCGGAGCCCCCCCGGACTCGAGGCTGCCAGTGGCTTCCCAGCAGAGCAGGAGCCTGGCTTGGCACGGGGTGACATCGCTTCAGGGCTGCAGGGAGTGGCTGGGGATGGGGTGGGGGAGCGATTAAACTGTGTCCCCCCCATCCCACTGTGGACAGGGACTGGTGTGTGATAACTGCGCTGGTTCTCAGCCCTCCACTTTGGCCAGGAGGCCTTTGACATGGCTTTGGACCCTGTGCCAAGGGGAACACTGGGTCCCCCACAGTGTGGGAGCTTTTGGAAGCTCAGGAGCCTCCCATCCTCACCTTTGCCTGGCTCTCCTTGCTGCGAGAGCTGCCACCTCTCCATCCCTCCTGCTGACTCACTGCCAGAGTCTCAGCCCTGCTGGGGACTTCCCAGCTGGCATCAGAACCCCTCAGCGAACCCACCACTGTGTTTGGGGGAGCAATGGGGATGTGTGCTCGGCCTGGGGACAGCGTGAGCTGGCAGGCTGAGTCACAGTTCCCCAGGGCAGCCTTCTCACTGCCACAGCCACTGTGACAATACCAATCTGTAGCTGTGGCACCTTGTGGGGCCCTTGTGGAAGAACCCACTTGGTGCCATCCTGTCCAGCTTCCCACACTGGGATGTGCTTGGAAGTCTGCTGGCAGCCAGCTTCCTGCCTCCGGCCTCAGGGGCTCTTCCTGCCCCACTTCGCTGTGCTCATTGACCCCTGGCTTCATCCCCAGACGAGGAGTGGCCGGAAGCAGAGAAGGCTGAGAAGCTGGCCAGAGGAGCTGCTCTGAAATGGGCTTCAGGGGTGTTTTACCGCCCCGAGAAACTGGAAGGGCTTGGGCATTACCGGAGCCGAGAGACACAGAGGAACAGCTCCATCCAGTCCCGGCTGAAGGTGGGTGTTTGCCACGGGGACACCCGCAGCCTCACTGCCTCTCCAGGCAGGGATCCCAGCCAGGGTGCCCTCTTGTGTGTTGAATCATCTTTCTGTCCACTTTTGGCAAAATCTTTTCCCTTGGCTGGCGGTTGAGGGGGAAATGGCAGTTGTTTTGGAGAAAAGATCTGGTAACCCCCACCCGCTGCCCTATTCTCAGGCCGTGTCTGAAGTGTTAAAATGAATCTCCCATGTTTCTGACCATCCTTCAGAATAAAACACCGAGGGGGTTCAGCACATCCCACGTGCAGGAGTCGGCGCTCCCATCACTGCCCCGTCCCAGCACCAAAGGCTGCCCTTCCTCACAGCTGGGAGGAGGCACAAAGCTCCAACCTGCCCATGCCTTCAGGTCCCCACAGGGGAAATTTCATTTCTACACATCTGCAAGGGCTGTTCCAGTCCCCCTGCACAACTCCCTCCTCAGGGTGACATTTTTATGTGACCCAAGGAATGACCAATCTGTCTGAGCACTGCAACCTTCTCCTGATTATTTTGGAGATGGTTTCTCCTACTCTTAGTGTGGTTGAATTATCCAGGAGGCAACTTGTTCTAAGTGATGTGGCTGCAGAGAAAGCAATTTAATTCCGGTGATGCTGGGTAGAAGGACAGTGGCACCAGGAGATGGGCATTAGATGGGTGGATAGGGCATGCAAAAGTGCCAGTGCCACTGCAGGGCTGGAAATGATGGAAATCCATTTGGGAGGAGGGTTTGTACAGACACTGAGGTACTTCATGCCATCCATATGCCTTGGGGGGGGTACACAAGGGCCCTGTGGCCTGCTGCTCTTTTGCAGAAACAAAGTAGTATTTTTAAAGTGAAAGGAGACATCTGGTTACTGCTCATCCTGTGGTCTTGGTCACCCCAAAGTGATGCCCTTCTCCCACGTCATGCACAGCAGTCACTGCCCCTCACCCCACCCCCTATGAGCCATTCCTGCTGCTGGAGGGGGTTCCTAGAAGCTGGGTGTGCAGTGGAGCGGGGCCATCACAGAAGGTCCAAGAGATGTAATGGGTGTGATGGCAGGGGCAGGTGTGACCTGTGGGGCTGGGAGAGTGCCTGCAACACAGACCACACAGGGCCAGGACAAAGGGTGTGGGAGTCCCCCTGCCTTGTGGAGCTGCTCCACTGCCCCTCCATCCTCTTCTGCTCCCCAGTCAACCGTGCAGTCCTACCTGGAGGGGGTGAGTGCGGGGCTGGAGCAGCTGCGGTCGGCGGCGCAGGAGGTGCAGAGCGTGTGCCAGGACCTGGGGGCTGCGCGCTGGGCCCTGCTGGACAGCGCCGACCACTTCCAGGGCCTGCAGCAGATGAGGGCGCTGGTGGAGGAGCACGTCCAGCTGGCTTCTGTGGTCCAGGTGCTGCCACAGATCTTCTCAGGTAAGGCACTGGTGGATTTGGGCTGGAAGGCAGAGGGGAGAGCTTCAGTCCGACCCCGGGCTCCGTGCAGGGCTGGTGGCAAAGCTTGAGCAGGTCACTCTGGCTTTGCCTGTTGGGTTTGGAAAGTCTCTGTGGATGGAGATTTCACTGCCTCCCCAGGGCCTGATCCAGCACGGTGTTCCCAGAGCCCCAGACCTCAGCCCCTTCTCCCTGATAACCTGCACCCATCCCCTGGTGCAAACCCCCTTCGCCCCCCGCGCTGAGTCCTGGCATCCCTCCTCCCTCTCCCACAGTGCAGGAGGTTTTTTCCCATACCCTGCAGCTGCTCCACGGGCAGCGTCTCCTGGAGGCCCACGCGGAGCTCATGATGGTGGAGCACCTCCGGGATGACATCCTCTCCCAGCTGCACCTCCGCGGGCTCCCCGGTGCCCAGACAACTGTGCTGTCCTACTTCGGCGGCCTGCAGCAGCTCAACGAGACCCTGGCCAAGCAGCTGTGGGACATCGTGGGCAGCAGCCTGCGGCTGGTGCGGGAGGACCCCGTTCTGTTCGTCACCGCTGTGAGGATCATCGAGCGGGAGGAGAAAATAGATGACACTCTGCTCCTGGAGGCCACCTTCCTGCCCCCCGGCCGCCCCAAGGGCTGGAGGCAGAAGTTCTACCACGTGCTGCAGGACACCATCAGAGGGGCTCGCTTCCATGGTGCTCCCGTGGACGCTGAGGGGCCAGGGCTGGCCAGGCACCTGGCAGCGCTGCAGAGGGACATCGTGTCTGAGCTGCGCGTGGTGAAGGACCTGATGGTCCAGTGCGTCCCGGCTCACTACAACATCCTCAGTGTCTGCACTGCCACCTACCACCAGGCCCTCGCCAGCCACCTCCAGGAGATCCTCCGGGAGGACCTGGACAAACAGGGGCTCTTCCTCCTCCTTGAGTGGGCACTCCACGTGTACCACAGGTGAGCACCGAGCCTGGCACCAACAAAGCAGGGGTTGTTGTGGAGAGCTGGGTTGTTCACCAGCACGTGGGTGGGTTGGGAGAGTGGCTCTGGCTACCAAGGGATGACCAGCAGGAGGACAGTGGGAGAGGTATGAACTCTGGGAAACACAGGTCTTCCCAGCCCTGACCTACCTCTCTGCCTCCCAGCCCAGAGATGATGGGTCACCCTGACCTTCTCCCAGAAGTGGATGTTTCTGCTCTGGGTCCTTTGATGTCTTCTGAGCTTGTGGATCAGACAGAGAGGAGATACGTGGTGAAAGTCAAGGTGAGTGGAGCAGGGACCACCACGGAGCCAAGCATCTGCTCTGACAGCAGCCCCAGACCATGAGCCTGTGGGACCAGGCCCAGGACTCACTGCTGTGCTGTGTTGGGTCTCGAGGGAGTCGGTACTTGACTTCTTGGGCCTCCTGTGGTGGGTGTCCATCCCACAGGCCAGCGTGCTAGAGTGGATGCAGAGGACCCTGGAGGTGGAGTTCAAGGAATGGTTCAGGGAAGAGGAACCCGAGACAGACCACCAGGGATTCTTCCAGTCAGCCCTGCCTGTCATTGTCATGCAGGTGGGTCCCCAGCACCACAGGTGCAGCTGGAGCATGGCCGTGCTAAGAGCTCCCAAAAAGGGGGCCAGGGCCTGCAGGCTCTCCCTGACTCACCTCTACTCTCCTCTCCTGCTGCAGATGCTGAATGAGAACATCCAGGTAGCTTCCTTGATCAATGACTCTCTGCAGCAGAAGGTTTACAACATGGCCTTAGAGGAGCTCGAGGCATTTCTGGGCCGGTTAGTGGAGCCCCTCGCACCGCTGCCCATCCTCACAGATCCTGGGCCCCGTGGGATGGTGGTGGAGATCTGCTGTGGGGCACCCAAGTCTCACCCAGGTCACAGGAGGCTCAACAGCCTCTCTGCCCATGGAGCTGCTGTCTCAGCCCTTGAAGGCATCAGCTCTCAGGGCTCGCTGCCCAAAACGCTTCTCTGCTAAGCCCTACTGTCCCCAGGGGGCCCAGAATGGGTCCCGCTGTCCCACCCTGCCCAGCCACCTGCCACTCTCCAGCCTGATGGCAGATCAGGAAAGAGCCAAGAGAGCTGAGGGGGGAGGTGGGAGGTCCACGTGCCCCCAGGAGCATCCCAGCTCCGTGTCCTTGTGGTGGGACTGCTCTGCCCGCCCCTCAGGGGTTCCTCTCTGTGGTGCAGGCTGCGGGAAGCCCTGGTGCAGTGTGGGAAGGAGCACCAGCAGGACCGGGCCGTGCCCAAGTACTATGTCTCCTACCTCCTGGCCATGCTCAACAACAACCTGGCTCTCAGGTAACCTGCACCAGCACCGTGCAGCTCTTGCAGCAACCCCACCACCCACAGGGAAGCCACTTGCTCCCCGTCCTCCTGCAGGACAACTGTCCCCACTGTGCTTCCCAGGCTACCTGTGCCTCTCTTCTCTCTTGTAGCAACTCTGTCTCCTCCCTGCACCCCGACACTGCCCACAGAGAAGTCCCTGCATCCCTCCAGGCTGCTCTAGACAGGATGCAGAAGAAAGCCTGCCAGCTGCTGCTGGAGGAGCTGCACCTGGACCTGCAGGTACGTTTGTCCACAGCACCTGAGCCTGACAGGGCTGCAACAAACCTGGTCCCAGCAAGAACAGCCTTACAGCAACACCCCAGACACGAGTTATTCCTGCCAGGTAACCCCTGCCATGTGCTCCATACCCTGCTATCATCCTGCAGACATCTCTGCCAGGCTGGCTCCCAGACCTTGATAAACCACCCGATGTCTGTCACCAGCCAGCACTGCCCCGTATCGCTGGGGCAGATGGTTTGTGGCTCCCAAATCACCAACCGACAGAGACCAGGAGCCACAGCCCCCCTAGGCTGCCTCATGCTCCTTCCCATGGCTGTCTCGTGGCAGAAAACCAGCTGGAGAGCGGCGATGTCAGCCTGGAGGATACAAATCCATGTGCAGCTGCCCAAGTCGTTTCCTGCCAGTGTAGTCAAATTTAGCTTTCCTGGAGTCTGGACCAAAAATCTGGAATAATTAACGGCATTGCTATTTAGGGCTTGAGTGCCATGAAAACAAAGGAAGAGCCAAAGGGTGAAGAGCTGCCGGGGCCCCAGCAGAGACAGAGGGAATGTGTGCCTGCAGACAGGAAGACAGGCAAGGACAGCAGGGCAGGAGCTGGAAATCAAAGCCCTCAGCCAAAAACATGCTCTGTCTACACCAGGGAAGTGGGGAGGAGTGGGAATTAAAAATAAAATCACAGCAAGGCAGGCCAAAAGCGAGTGTGTGAGGAGCAGCTTGCTGCCTACACAGGTGACTCAGATAAAGCCCCAGATGGGGGTGTCAGGGAGGGACAGCCCCAGTGGGCTTCCATAATCTCCTAACCCAGACCACTCTTTTGTTTTCGTATTTTGTTCTGGCTGGCAGCAGGGGGTTTTGCAAGGCAAAGTGGCCAGGCAGCAGGTGGGCACCAGCTGTGGGTGTCGTGGCTGCCCTGAGCTGGCAGCTGCTGTGGGAGTGGGGTGACAATGCAGGGCACAGACACTGCTCCTCCACCCCTTTCAGCCCCTGTGCCTGCAGCTGCCCTCCCGCAAGTGGCTCTCTGGGTCCCAGCTCGTGGGCAGCATGTGTGAAGTGATCGACAAGTATGCAAAGGACTTCTCCCGCGTCAGGAAACCCCTCTTCACGGTACTGGCTGCGCTTGGGATGGCTGCTTGTCTGCAGGGCAGGGAGGCTGGGCCGCTGGGTGCCACGCTGGGGTGCAGGGGATCCAGTCACTGCTGAATCAGGGAGCCTGCATCCTCCAGAGCAGCCCAGAGAGCACCACCACACAGAGGTGTTCAGGGCTTCCCCCAAATCCAGCTGTTTTCTCTGTGCCTTCAGCCGAGGGTCTTCCCAGCAGGTTGGCCACGGCTTGGTGTCGCATCCGGCCCTTTTCCTCTTTGCCTTTCCCTGGGGAGGTGGGGTCTGACACGCAGGCAGTGCCAGCACTGACAGCTCTCCCCTGCCCAGCTCCTGCTGATGGAGAGCGAGCTCCTGGTGGCGAGCCAGTACCTGCGGGCGCTCATGCAGAGGAAGATGGTGTGCAAGAGCGAGGAGGAGCGGGGCCAGCTCTGCGAGCGCCTGCTGCAGGACGCCACCCAGCTCCGGGAGCTCTTCTGTGGCCTGGTGAGAGGGGCCTGGGTGCGCTGGGGAGCCGGGGCTGTGCCCCTGGAGGGCACCATCACCCCGTGAGGTCGGTTAAAGGAGCTCACAGCTCACCCTCCGTCAAGTGGGGTGGGTACATCAGCCCACAAACAAGACGTGGCTGTTACGCCTGGGGGGTTTGTGAGGCCAAGATGGGGAGGAAATGGCTGGATTAGGGACTTGGGGAACCATCACCCTGCTCAGCAGCCCCTGGTGGGTGGGACATGCTCAGTGGGAAGAAAACAGCTGCAGAGAACCAGGTCCCCACGTGGGCACTGAGGACACAGCTGTGTCTCACTGTGGTGACTTCACCCCTCATCTCACACCTGGCTGCTTTCCCTCCCAGGGCCTGGATCAGGGCCAGCAGAGCCTGGAGGCCGTCTTTGCTCTGCGGGAGCTGATCTGCCTCAAAGACCCAGCACTGCTCAGCCTGGAGGTGCTGGGCTTCATCACCAAGTACCCTGATGCCAGGTAAGGTACCTCCAGAGAGAAGGGGTAGGTGGGAGTCCATCCAGGAGAGCCAGTCTTGGGTTGGACCCCGTGAGGTGACACTGCAGAGCAGGCAGAAACCTGAGCCTTCTCCCCCTTCTCCCTGAGGTTTCCTTTTCCCATGCTCCAGATTTGAGGTGTTCTTGCAAAGCCCCAGGGGCGAAGAGGTAAAGGAAAAAGGAGTTCTGCTACAAAACACCAAATTGGAAATGTCAAAACCAAATTCACATGTGCTGGGGGGGGAAGGGGTGTATTTGCCTGGTGCAAAGTCCCGGCTCTCCCCTGGCCTCAGCGTGGCTTCCCTGAATCACGGGAGGTCTGTGGGACACAAGCACACTGTGGGTGGTGGGTCAGCAGCTCGCCCTGACTCACCTGTTCCTCTCTGCCCAGCGACGAGCACATCTCCACCTTGCTGGACCTCCGGGGCGACGTCTCCAAGGAAGTGCGGCACGTGGTGCTGGAAATGATGGCCCAGCACCCCCAGGCGCTGCCCGAGGGCTACCGGCCCATCTTCAGCACCATCCTGGTGCCTGTGCCAGAGCTGCCCTTCTGCCTTCGCAAGGGCAAGTGTGCCTGACACTGCCCCTCAGCCAGCTCCCACTGCCCCCCACGCAGGGATGGACCACAGGGGCATCTCTGCAGCTGCACGGGGGGAATGGAGGTGACATGTGGCATCCCCTGCACGCAGCACCATGCCCTGCCTTGGGGACAGTCTGGATATGTGCCATCCTCCTCTGGTCTTGCCTCACTGTCCCCTGCAACCACCAGTTCTGGGATACCTGGATCAGGGGAAATCCAGCCTGTAGCTGTTTTTACCTGGATCAGGGGAAATCCAGCCTGTAGCTGTTTTGCTGGCCTTGCTGGGACAGTGACTGAGGGCTGCTCAGGCCTGGCCTGTTGCCTGCAGGGAGGAAGAGATGTTGCAGAGCAGACAAGAGTTTGCAGCTGGGGCAAATCCGTGTCTCCATGGGGCTGTAGGGATATTTGGGTTTCCCCAAGTCTCCAGACAGCTCCCTGAGGCAGCAGGTCCAGTCCATGGAGCCTGCTACAATCCCAGCTTCCAGGCAGATTGGAGTCTTACTGAGAGCAGGCTGGCAGAAGGGTTTTAGGCATGGGAGGTCCTCTGGATTCAGGTGTTGCTGCTCCAGCCTAGGCCCTGATGGCCAGTGGAGAGCAGCTCAGCCAGCTCCTCATGGCCATGGAGAAGGGCACCAGGTGGTCTCCCTGCCCTGGGCAGTGCCATCAGCTCTGAGTTCCTGCTGACCTGCCAGACTTCTTGGCTCTGGCTCGTTTGCCAGTGTCCAAAACAGGACTGGAGTCCAAGGTTCTCCAGCTGCGTAGAGAGCGTGGCTGTGTCTGCTGTGTCGAGCATCCTCCTGCTCCAAGGTTCCTCCGTGATGGGAGCACCGCCCTGAGCTCTGGCTCTCCCTCCATCCTCTGCTGCTGCTGCCTGGTCCTGGTCTCCTCCCCAGGTGCCATGAGAAGATGAGGAGCAGCCTGTGTCTCTGCCTACATCCTTGTGCCTGCAGCATCCCTGCAGCGCCCTGGGAGACCTCCACGCTCTGCCACGCTTCCTGCCCTGGGGTGGGCTGCATCCTGCTGTCCTTGTGTGGCACCACTGCTGGAAATAAAGGCCTGAACTGTGCACTTGCTCCCCAGTGTCCAGGCTCTGCTGCCCAGAGGGTCAGGACAGGGATCGCGGGCATGTGGGTGGCACGGGGTGGGGGAGGAACCATCCCTGTGTTCAATCACCCCAGAGCTGGCTCCCTGCACCTGGTGCCACCTGGGAAATCACCCAGGGACAGGGGGATGAGGGAGACACTGCATAGCCCAGGCCCAGGATGGGGTCAGGGTCAGGCAGCTGTAGTGCTGGGGGGATGCTCAGTGGTGGGCTCAGCCTCACCTTGGGGAGATGCCCACTGCTCTCCTTGGGGCTCACCGTGTGCTTGCCCGGCTGGCCACAGCTCCCACCTGCCTGGGAAGGTGTCTGCCCTCCTCACCTGCCCCCACTGGCTCACCTGTACCAGGGACGTGGTTCAAAGGGTGGCTCTGAGCCCTGGGAACATCCAGCTGGGACCAGCACTGGCCCAGGCCAGGACTTCATGGCTGCATGGAAAAACATCTCTGGTGCCAACAGATCTGAAACAGATTTGGCACAGGATGACCTCCCACATCCCAGGCACTGGTGCCCATCCCACCACGTCCAGCCCCACTGCTACCCCAGCTGTGTGCCCACAAGCAGCCCCCCATGCCCCCTATCACAGCCCTGTGGTGCTCTCCCCTCCCCAGCTCCACAGGCTGCAGTGAGAACTGACACAACTCGTTACAGCAGCAGCCCAAGCACCCCAGGTGCCTTCCAGCAGTACCTTCCCACATCCCTGTTTGGAGGGGCACGGTGTGTGCCAGGCCTGTCACTGCTGCCCACAGCTGACACAAGGCCACAGGGGGACCTTGACCTGCCTAGCTACAAGCCACGTGGCCTCCTGGCCACTATAAACTCGTGGGCCCCGGGGGCTCAGCCTGCACCTGTCCAGGATGGCGTTCCTGTGGGTAGTTGCTTGCCTGGCCCTCGCCAGCACCGTCTCTGGTAAGTGCTGCCCATGGGTGCAAGGAGGTCCTCAGGGTGCAGCAGGACACATGGGATATGAGTGCACCAGCCCCCAGATACAAGCCCTGAGCTGTTGGGGTCACCCTTGTGCCCGTCTGCCTGTCCCACAGGGTGCGGGGTGCCCAACATCAGCCCCTCGGTCGCCTACAGCGAGAGGATCGTCAACGGGCAGAACGCCGTGCCCGGCTCATGGCCCTGGCAGGTGTCCCTGCAGGTACAGCACCGTCCCAGCCCCGGGCAGGGGCAGTGCCACAAGCACTGCAGTGGCACAGCCAGCAGGGTGCTGTGCCTGGGAGCTGGGTGGGCACACAGGGACCTCTGACTGCCCCCAGCCTGGGGGTGCTCAGCCTGCCCGGCCCCAGCTCCTCCTCCCTCTTTGCTCCCCAGACCCTCAGCGGATCCCACTTCTGCGGTGGCTCCCTCATCAACCAGTACTGGGTCGTCACAGCTGCCCACTGCAACTTCAAGTAAGGAGCCACGCCTGGCCAGGCCACACCGGTGCCACTGTCAGGGCTCTGCAGCGTGCTGGGCATTGCTGAGTGGCACTCGGGTCAGCCCCAAAGGCCTGAGCGGCCCAGGGCTGCTTCCTCCCCAGCTGTCCCCACGGTGGCTTCCCTTGGGTTCCCGTTCCCAGCTGGGGTGTTGGATGCCCCACGCCCCCCTGACTCTCTCTTACCTCTGGCAGCCCGAGCGCCCATGTCGTCGTCCTGGGGGAGTATGACCTGAGCTCCAGCGCCGAGCCCATTCAAGTGAAGACGGTGTCCAGGGTGAGCGGGGCAGGCGCGGTGCCGGGACGGGGCTGCAGCCCTGCGCTGTGGCTGCTCCCACGGGGCAGGGGATGAAATGCCACGGTGTTTCTCCGCAGGCCATCACCAACCCGGGCTGGAACCCCAACACCATGAACAACGACATCACCCTGCTGAGGCTCTCCACGCCCGCCCAGCTGGGATCCCGTGTGGCCCCCATCTGCCTGGCCCCCGCCAACCTGGTTCTGCCCAACAACGCCCAGGCTGTCACCACCGGCTGGGGACGCACCAACCCCAACTGTACGTGTGCTGTGGCTCCAGGGAGGGCTGCGTGTGGCTGCTGCTCCTCCTGGGGGCTCTGAGGGTCCAGGGCTGTCTGAGGGGGTGACACATCCTGCATGTGTGGAGGGAGAGGGAGGTGGGCAGTGGAGTGACCCTGTCTGAGCGTGCACAAGCGTGCAGCTCAGGGCTCCATACACAGAGTGATCCTGCCCGAGGAAGGAGGGGTGTGTTGGCACAGAGGGGGAAAGTGCTTTGCATGCTCCCCATGTGTTCGGGACCACCAGCGGGAGCTTGCCCAGGGCACCCATGTGCTTTCCAGGAGACCTACCAACACTGAGGTGATTTAATGGTGCTTCTTCCCTAGCTCAAGCCTTGGCAACGTCCCTGCAGCAGGTGGTCGTGCCCCTGATCTCCCAGAGCCAGTGCATGCAGTACTGGGGCAACCGCATCACCAGCGCCATGATCTGCGCCGGTGGGGCCGGTGCCTCCTCCTGCCAGGTAAGGAGATGAGCTCCTGCTGCACCACAGGGTGGGTGGAGGAAGAGAAAGAAACCTGGGGTCTTGCTGAGCTCCCACTGCATCGCAGGGAGGGTGGATATACCATCCTGCATTTATGCAGCCAGAGATTGAAGCTACAGCACGCGGCTGCGTGCAGGGGAGCAGCTGGCTGGGGTGGCAGGGGCCGGTCTGGAGCGTGTGCCAGGAGCACTAAGCACGAGCCTCCTCCACAGGGTGACTCCGGCGGACCTCTGGTGTACCAGAGCGCCAACGGCTGGGTGCTGATCGGCATCGTCTCCTGGGGAACCTCCAACTGCAACACCCGCACTCCGGCCATGTACACCCGCGTCAGCCAGTTCCGCAACTGGATCGACACCATCATCGCCTAAGGCCACAGCTGCCGGCTGTGCCATCCCTTCACTGGGACTAATAAAGTATCAGAGTTCGGTTGTGCCGAGCACTGCCTCCCTGCCTCCTTTCTTCTCGTGACGCAGACCAGGGTGGAAGGCACATGGGGGAGCCTGGGGCACCCCGCGCTCCTCTGCTGAACCCAAGAACTCGCCAGAGCTGGAGCTCGGTGCCCAGCAGGGACCCAGGGGGAGGTGTGAAGCCAGGACATGATGCTCGGGCAGAAGGGGAGCAGGGCTGGCTGTGCCTCAAGGGCTGCTCAGAGGGTCTTCAAGCACAAGTACCTACACCCTGGCACCAGCCCAGAGACCACCAGAGCACTGAGGGTGGGAGAAGGGTCCTTCCACTGACCCAGGGGGGAGGTTCCACCAGGGAAGGGGTTGTGGAGCTGTAGCTCACCAGGCTCAGCACCAGAAAACTCAGCTTGCAGTGGAGGGTGGATGCTGGCAGGTTCACAGGATCCTAAAAGAGATGTGGGAATGGGCCTTGTGGGCAAAGGAAACTCCTGGCTACAAGAAGCTTCAAACAGGAACTGACAACTGCAGCACTGTGGGTCATCTGCTCTGTGTGCTCAGGTCACTATCAGCCCTCCCACCACAGGGACAGAGTCCCCTGCCCCTAAAAAATCCCCTCTTTTCCAGGAGGAGGTGACTCAAGAGGGGTGTGACTGATCATTTGATGTTATAGGTTTTGCTCAGAGTGAAACTGTAGAGGTGACAAGTGGCTGTGTGCAACCCAGAGCATTTCTCTGGCCCAGCTGGCCACCTTGCAGCCAAAGAAAAGTGAAGACAATCTCCCAAAGTGCCTGTTAAGCCTCCCAACCCCGCCTTCCAGCAGCAGGCTGAGTGCCTGCCTCACCCAGAGCATCCCATGGACACCCCAGCCCTGCACCAGGTCCCCCTTGGGCAGCTGCTGCGATAAATCAGCGAGCTGTTTACCTTCTTGCTGTGATCCAAGAACATGTTGGAGAGGTGAGCAGCTCCTGGCTTTCCATGTGTCTACCCATCGTTCCCAGCCTGGAAATCGGCGCCTTCCAGCAGGGAGCCCACAGGTGATCCGGGAAGCAGAAGTAAGGACAGCAGAGCCACGGGGTACACAGAATACATGGACATGTTTTAGCAGACCGAGTACACCAAATAAATAATTCTGTACACTCTAATTGTAACATTACGGACTAATTACAATGATTCCAAACTCATCCACAGTCCCTGGAGTGATGCCAGGACTCAAGAGGGTAAGTCACAGAACGGGACACTTCTCAAAACAGTCCCATGAGGAGACTGAGTGGATATGACCGGAGTTACCTCCAAACAATTCCAACCCAGCACCGGAAACCGGGCAACCAAAAATAACATCGAGAGCCGGAAGGTCTCGGAGCCCGAGAGCTTCCCGGGAGGTGTCTTTCCGTAGTGAGAGGCAACAGGAAAACTCGAGGCATCTGAGCATCCACGCAGGGGCTGCTGGTTTGTGACGCAGCTCGCTGGGGCCGTGGAGCTGTCCCGTCATCTCTTCCCCATCCAGCAGACAGAGAGTGCAACGACACCCACAACAGCAGCGAGAGGCTCGCCCGTCACGCAGGAGGGACCTACAGCGCTGCCAGGCAGGGGAGGACAGGGAAGGAGGAGCAACTGTCACCAGGCAGAGCTCCCTCTGCTCTCAGGACACCGAGGGCGGGAGGTGTGCGATGCCACTGCATCCCTGCTGCTTCACATTGATTCCTTTGGGAAGGCTCCTGCACGGTAAGGCACAGCTGGCACCCGAGAGCTGCGTTCCTCATCCAGGATGAAAGAGGGGACTGAGTGGTCAAAGAAAGCACCATAACCCTCCCAGGAGTGGTGAAGGCAACTCAGAGCTGGGTGTGTGGCACAGAAGTGGTACAGGCACTTTGTGGTGTTTTCCAGGAGGAAGCCGAGTGGGGGTGAGAGGCTGGGACAAACCACCCTCCCTGCAAGTCCCAGGGTTCACACTGCTGCCAGAGAACAGTCTGCAACTCCTCCTCCCCCCAAAAAACCCATCTCTGTGCTGCTCTGCATCATTCAGAAAAATAAATTAAGTGAAACAATTGAGATTTTAATTTACGCCACCTCAAACCTTCCAAATCTCAAGTATCATCACTTAAATATGGTCCCACACTGCACCACAAGGGGCCTGTGACAGCCCCACAGTAGTTGCCCTACGTGGTACAAGATCATATTGAGCTGAGCCTGCACTGCAGGTCCTCAAAGGGAGCCTTCTCCCATGGGTGCTTTTACCTTGCCCCAGACTCAGCACAGCTCCTGCAGAGCCAAAGCCAGAGCTGCTGCCCAGTAGCAGAGGGAACCATCATTCCCATTCCAGTTTGTGCATGAGATAAAAGCTGACTCTCTTAGTACTTCAGCCAAACACTGGGGTAGAAAACCCAGGCTGAGAAACAGAGCAGGGTCTAAGTAAGAATGTAAATTGCCAGGACAGAAAAATCTGACCTAAAAGAAGGAAATATCCAGATTCCAAAGAGTCTGAGGGTGTATCACATCCAAAACAAACACGTAACACGGGCCCTGCACTGCAGCTGGTTTCCACATTGCTACTGAAGCCAGCAGGTCTGAAACCTTTTGTCTGGGCTTAAGCTCCTCACAAGGCTCTAAAGCTTTCCCTCACACAGGGCTGTACTCTTCCAAGAACAACCCAGACCAGGAGCTGGCAGGAGCATCTGGATGCTATCACAATCTCAGTGTTAAATAGCACAGGCTTCTTTTGGATTGAAGGAAGGGGGTGGGTTTCAACCACTGGGTTGACATGTTAGTTTTTTAGAAGCCTGAGAAAGGTGAGAAGTAAATTAAACATAGACCAGTAATTGCTGTTTTAGCAGAAAGCATAGAAAAAATCCACTATGCACTCAAAAATCTGGATGTCAACCTGTAGAGCCCCTAACACTATTTCTGGAAGACCTTTTCACATTCTTTTCCAGTAACCTTCCAAAAAAAAAAAAATCAAGGAATCAACGTTCTTTGAAGCTGTAATTCTCTCCCCAAAGAGAGCAGCCAAACTCCCAGGACAAAAGGATGGGATTGTTTTACACAGTACTGCTAAGTTCCAAAAGACAAACAACCCTAATTCTCTTTACTCCTTAAAACTGCATTTCCCTGAAACAGAACACTCTGGGAAGCAACACCCTGAGCTGCTCCACCATGTCTCAAGATAAGAGAAAGTCCCAAACTTACTGCCCAGAGAAGCTTTGGGTGCCCCATCCCTGGAAGTGTTCAAGGCCAGGGGTTTGGAGCAGACTGGTCTAGTGGAAGGTGACCCTGCCCCTGGCAGGAGGGTTGGAACGAGATGAGCTTTAAGGTCCTTTTCAACCCAAATCACTCCAGGATTCTGAACTGATTCCAGCCTCAGCATCTTCAGGCTTTGCTTTCCTGCAGTGTCCCCCAGGATGGGCAGCTGATGAACACCCAGGACTAGGTCCAAGCCCAGCCCCCAGCACACCAAACCCGCTATTCCTCCTTGTAAGAGCATCTCACCCAGGAACAGCGGGCTGTGTTCGGACAAGGACACACCACGATTTGCCACTAGGTGTCATTCCAACTCCATTTTCACTGCATGAGCCAAAGTAAGGACAACAAAAAGTCCTCACAGATTTGCATCCCAGCACAAAGACTGCACTCAGTGATGGTCTGGAACAGGCAGTTGTTACCTGTGTTCTCCAGCACACACTGGACTAAAGGAAGGCTTCAAAAAAACCCTGTGAGCCAAATTAAGAGCCACCATTAAGAGCCAAAGAAGGATGTTGAAAAAATTAAACTGAAGAGAAAAAAACATTTCAGAGAGATTTTAGCTTCTAAAATCCCCAAACAAGGCACTCCTGAAAAGTGTAAACTCCTGAGGCTTAAGACCAACCGAGCACAGAGATGCTCCTGTGCAATGAAGACAGATGATTAAGGCAATTCACAGTGAAGAGCTTCTTAGAGGACAGATTGAAGGCACCTGGACTATGGCTCAGAATTACAGCACTTTGCCTGTCCCTCCCTTCACCTGACCCAGATGAAAACACGCCCCAATTGCAGGGATAAAAGCACCCAAGGAATTGTTTTTAAGCTGGACCTTCCAACGTGGCACTTGGATCTTCACAGTTTTCCAGACAGACTAAAGGAAAGATCACTGAGGACTCCAGGGACACTTGGAGGGAGCTCTGCTCATCTCTCCTCTGCCCACACATGTTTTTGTCTGGGTGCAAGAGTTCCTGTAAATACCAAATTTAGACAAAGAAGGGGGAATGAGCCAGCAGCGTTCTAATCGAACGATGGAAGGAAAGCCCAGAAAATTTTCCCCAAGTTTACATTGATTTTTTCCATGCAAACCAGAAAACATTGAATTTGTGAAGAGAATTAAGAGTTCCTTTTTCTAGAAAAGCCAAAGCCCCTTATGGGATGGCCTTGGTCCTCCTGCTGTGATTCCCAAGAAGTGGAAGCCTGAGGACCACAAACCCCTCCGTACCACGGAGAGGCAGAGATCCAGTATTGCTCATGCATGTGATGGATCCTCCCTTGTGCCAATTCACCCCCAGGCACAGAGCATCACCACCAAAACCTGACACTGCCAGGAACCTACACAGCAACATCCCACTTCCCACGACACATTCCACCCCAAAGTCACCGCGGATGGCATCGCTCTGAACTCTTCCCGGCGAAAAACAAGTTGTGGAAGAGAGCAACGAAGCAAAGAGTGTCTCAGATGAGAAGATTGTTTTCTGCTTTGTGAAGGTGGAGAAACAAGCCTGGACAGCCCACAGCTCAATGTCCTGACCTCCTCCCCACCTTTATTTCTCCCTCATCCCACAAGAGAACACAAATGCACGACGCCTGAGCATTTTGATGGTCTAGTGGTCAACAGGAAAGGTTTCAGGTTCTAGAAAGACTGGCTCAGTTCATCAGTGTGACCCCCTCACACCGGCAAAATACCTGTTTTAGGGCTAAACATGCAAAATAATCTGGGGAGGGCCATGAGGGCACTGGGGAGGTAAAAGAGCTCACAGTGCCTGGGGTGTGATGCTCCAAACACACCGAAGACCCTTCGAGGAACGGCTCAGAACCAGAAGCGCTCCGAGGGAGCATCCTGCCATCACCTCACATGCACCCATGGTCCAGCTGATGCTGTCTCAGAGGGGCTCCTGCTTTCAGAGAGCTGTTCTGCAGTGGCACAAGGGACACTCAGTCCTTTATGAAGCAAAATGTGGCGAGCTGGCTGCTCTGTCAGAAATCAATCCTGGGAAAAGGCCACGCTCACCAGTCCCTTGAGCTTGCACGTCCTGCACCTCCCACCAAGAGCCAAGCAAGCCCTTCCCAAGTGCACAGCACGAAGCAAACTGGCTTCATATGAAAAGTTTCAAAACCCAGCATTCTCCTTCCCTGCAGATCTTGTCTCTGCTACCACGAGAAGCCAAATCCACCCTGGGACTGTGCCATCAGCCTCACTTTGCTGCTCTGACTAGCTGGGAAGATAACTCAGCAGGCTTGCACAAAGCTCAGCTCTGCAGCTCCCACTTCTACTAAGAGTCCTTCACAGGAGAGCCCCATATCACCCCCACAGCACAAGGACACCTGAAGGGCAGCTTTTTCCTGCTGAATTTAAGTTCTGGTGCAGTGACATGGTCCGTAACACAGTGGTTAAAACCCATCCCAGCTTTGGGGTGGGAAGCACATCCCTACAAATTCCTTCCCTTCCCTCCCCCCTCTCACCTTAGCACAGACAACTCGACTTTCTCAACTCTTCCTTTGAAGTGTGCAAGGTGTGTAACAGGTCACAGACACGACGAGAGGCACGGCCCAGCAAGAACAACAAACCCTGCCCGGCAGGCACTGGGTCTTGCTGCAAACAGGGGAAGGATGATTCAAGGGGCAAACCCTTGACGTCATCGGGGCGAGCAAAACCCTCGACGAGTAAACCCCTTGATGTCATCGGGCGGATGGCAGCCCTTGGGGGAAACCTCGCAGCTTCCCAGGCATGGTGGAAAACTGCTGTCTGGCATCTCTTTGGCGAGGAGCTGGTGGGCAGCCGGTGAGTCAGAGCTATCCCACTTCTGACTGCGTCTGACTCACGCCAGCCCTGCTGCAAAGGCACCACGGAGTCTGACTAAACCAGCCCCAAACCTGTGTGCATCTCTTAATTTTTCAATGCACACACCCCCCCACACACGTGTATGTGCACACACGGACGTGCACGTACAGGACAAGTGATTTTGGTTGGGGTTTTTGTTGTTGTTGTTGTTTTATGGGGTTTTTTTCTCCCCGCACGCCAAGCGAGAGAAACTTAACGTCCTGGAATTAATAAATAACTATGAACAACCCAAAAGCTCCCAGGATACAGAGAGAGAGAGAGCTCTTCTCCCCAGGTGGCCCCTCAATTTTTGTATTGCTCGGTGCTCTGAGCCCACGAGGGTTTCCCCCTCTCCCCGTTTCCAGCACAGCTGGCGGGGCTCCCTGTCCTCCGCACCGGGGTGGGGACACCTTCCTCGTGGATGGGGCGGGGGAACACCTGGAGGGAGGGAGGGAGGGAGGAACCTGGAGGTTCCTCGTGGAGCGTGTGTGCAGACGCCTGGAGAGGCTCAGCCCGTGTACTGCTGCTGGTAGCGCAGGTTGAGCTCCCGCAGCTCCCGCTCCCGCACCCGCCGCGACTTGTTGGACTTGGTGGAGCGGCTGGAGCGGGTGGACTGCGCCGACTTGGTGCTCTGGCAGCGGGAGGACGCCCTCTTGAGCAGGTTTTGGGAGATGGAACGGTGGAGGTTCTTCATGGAGGAGGAGGCTGCCATGCTGACCACCCAGGGGTGCTTCAGGGCCTGCAGGGCCGTCATCCTGTCGCCGGGGTCCACCGTGAGCAGGCGGTCGATGAAATCCTTGGCCAGGTTGGACACGCTGGGCCAGGGCTGGAACGCAAAAGAGCTGATTAGAATGAAACACCCCCGGCACGGCTTTGCTGATTAATCGATTCCTCCCGTGCCCAAAAGGCACTTTGGGGCTGTTCTGCTGCTTCTCTTCTCTTTTATCCTCAGACCTTCAGATCTGCAACTGACAGTATTGCCCAAGGAGGATGAGACACAATCACTCCAAGTCAGGGGGAGAGAGGCTGAATTAGTGGGAAATGCACAGGAACTGTAGCCCATTGAAGACCCTCCCCAGTCCAACCAAGGGCTTTGTATCTGTCAAATCCATTATTGCACAAACATCAGCCCTATCACTCAGAGGATGGATCCTGACAACGAACCCCTGGGGCTCTTCTGACTCTCCATCTTAAGGCACACATGCAGGGAGCAAGCACTGACCTCTGCACCAATCCCTAGAATCAAACCTAAAGAGAATTTTCTGCTGTGGAACTTGGTCTCACTCCCACATGGGAATTTAGATGTTGCAACTGGTCAATCCTAGAACGGAGTTTCAGCCCAGCTGGAAACAACCCCATAAAATGTCCTAAATGTATAGAAATGTTTGATATAAGCAATTTTCAGGAATTTTTACCAAAGAAAAGAGGAAGGAATTTCTCTTACAAAATGCTGGTTTTAAAGACACAAGCCCCAAATAATTAATAAGACATATTAAATATCCTCCCAGCACACCCAGGAATGGCCATAACAACTTATGAGTCAAACACCTACAGCCACACACGCTGGGATTGTTTTCATTTCTGACAAAATACCATATTCACACTAAGGTGGGAAGTGAGAACATTTCCTTCAGCACGAGGTTAAGGCTGGGCTGTGGACAAAGTTAGGAAGAAAAACGTGGCACAATGGACTGTAAGGGTGGAGAGGAGGAGGCAGCGTGGCCACCAGAAACCCCCACGTGGAGAACTGAGCTGGGCAAGGGCAGCTTTCTGCAATCACAGGGTGTTGTGTGGGTCTCACCCCTCCTGAAACCACCAATCCTGGATTTTTAAAGCCTGAGCAGATTCCTGCAATGAAGATTTTGATACAGTAATGGTGACCACATACAAACACATACAGGGAACTGAGTGAAAACACCCTGTCTCTCATTCTTCTCTTCCTTGGGTGAGGAAGAAAAGCACCCAGCTATTTTAAAACTCAGGTTCCACTGACTGTACAGCCAGATGTAAAGCCTTTTCCTCGTGCAAGAGGTCTTAAAAAAGGTATGTCCTGATTTTTTTGAGGTTTGCAATTCGTTGCTACTGAAAGCATTTTTTTTTTGCTTTCAAAAGACTCAAAGGTACCAGCGAGAGAGCAGATCCCTGGGAGGATTTTATAATGAAAGGGAGGATGGTCTGAGAGTTACAGCACTGCTCCCAGCCCAAGCCAGGAAAGGTGAATTCGGGCTCTAACTGAGCTGCCAGGGGGAGCAGGGTACACACAATCTTATTTTACAATGACTAAAACACTCTGCCTTACTCAGCTGAAGGGGGATATATGATCACTGCCAGCAACTGTGCAAGAGAAGAGAGTGAAAATGATAGGAACTACTTGATATAAAGAAAATACCGCTACATGAATAACTAAAAGTGTTCCTGAATGTGTTCAGGATAGAAATGGAAACACTCCAGGGAGTTCAGGAAGGAAGCACAGCTTTCTCCTGTAGATCAGACACCACTTCTGCGCTTTGAAACCCCATCCAAAATCCCCTCCCCTCCACATTTCAAGAACTAAATCAGTTACCAAAAAAAAAAATTCTAGGTAAGGTACTTCATTTTGTTAAATAACAGCGAAGGGAATCAACTTGCAGGGTTTAGTCTTCACTGGCATAATCTCAGCTAATCCCAGGTGGTACCATATGTCAACTGGCAACACATCACCTCCCCTTCCCACTCGGGATCTCCAGTTACAGACCTCTGGGCTCTCTCCTCTTGATGGACAGATCCAAATGAAACCCAGCAGCAAGAGGTTTTGCCTCCACTTTTCCAAGCTTGCCTTCAAAAACTTCTATATTTCTGTAGTTTTTTTTTTTTAAATGAATCATTTTCAGCTATTCATTCAGTTAAAATCACAAAGTCATCATTACCTGCCTACACCCCATCAACCTCCAATCCTTTCTTTCCTTCTCCTCCTCCCAGCAGCCAGAGCTCACCCCGTTCTGTTTCCTTCACAGAGGACTCATTTTCCACTCCCCAAACAATCCTAATGAGACTGCCAAGCTAATGATACTCTGTCCAATTTACTGACTTTAGCTCAAAGTGGCAGCAAACACAGGTGACAGTTCTACTCTCTGTGCAGTAACTGTTTAAGAACTCTTTACTACCATTTTCATTTCTGTTGCCAGCAATTGAAACTACTTAAGGTACCCTGATAGTGCTTTTGTCCCACTCAGATGGAGAAAACACATTCACACAACTCCAACCTCACTGTTTTTCCTGGGGGTATTTCTTCCCCCCCCTCTTTCCCATTCAGATGCATTTAAACTTCACTCAGCTGACACTCCCGCGAGTGAAACGAGCCTCTAAACACCAGGAACAATTTTGCTTCAATCTTTTCAAGTCTTATTAAAAGACAGTAAATATGATGATTTAGAATCTGAAGGAACCCATGAAGTCTGAAGAGCTAGAAATAACCAGCCTAAGCCCAGGGAGGCCCATCCAGTTTAATGAATCCTAAAGAAGAATAAACTCCAAACAAAAGCACATTGGATTTCTCATTATTCCAATTACTCTGGTTTACCACAAATGTTGAATATGGAGTACCTGCAATTAGATTTTTCTCCTGGTCAGCAAACACAAATCAGTTTATTGATCTGTTTACGCAGCCAGAGGTTTGATTTGCTGCACCACACGCATCTTTTTTATTTCACTGAAGCTTTTGCCTTAAAAATAGGTAAGGCTACACTCTACAGAAGCAATTTTCAACCCCAGTCCCTGGAGAAATGTATCCACTCTCTAGAAACCTTGCATCAGTTGGCAAAACAGCAGGTTGAACTTAGCAAAACCTAAGCCAAGTTGTGTGCAAATAAAGGAAGAACCAATCATCTGACTTCCAAGCTTTGTTTTTAGGCTTGACAGTACCCACCGCAGGAAAAATACATATTGATTTACTGATTCCTACCCCCAAGTTATGTGTTGTTTTCAGGAGAACTGACATGAGCACTAAAGATGGTGTTATGGGGAGGGTGAGGGATCCCCAGAAGTGCAAAGGCCTGGATCTGCCTTGCCAGTCAGCCTTTACAAAAACACGAAGCACAGAGTATGTTATCCCAGCTGCAAACCATCGCTCTTGGGCCAAAAATATTGTATTCCAGGCCCTCTGATTCTTGGGATGAATCTGATGGAGCGCTGGAGAAGCCTCAAAGCACCTGAGAGGCTGAGAAGCCTTACAAGAGCCCATGGGTTCCTGCCAGGCTTCCCTGACAGAAAACCATCAGACAGCTCCCTGGAAGCTTTACAAGACAAAACAGATTCAGTGGGAATGAGCCTGCCCCAACAAATAGGCTGGGCTCAACACACCTGCTTGGTCAGGGGGAACTGCCTTCACATGGCACCCTCATCACCGTCAGCAGCAACACCCCACGCCATGGAACACGAACGTGCCGTCTCTGCTGCCATTCCCACGTTGATGCTGCGCTGCCAACCGTGCCAGCACGGGCAGTTCGGTTTGTGCAAACAAACTGAGCCAAATCAGCGCGTTCTGGTTAATTTTTCAGCTGGGGTTTTTCAGCCCAGACGTTCCTTGGCACGACTCACCAAACGGCTGCAGAAGCAGCTACATCAGCCCAAGCGAGCGGCTGGCACCGAGTCCAGGATTAGCAACACTCCAACCAAGTATGAAACCCGTACCACAGCCTGCCTTACAGCCATAATGACAATGGGAGAAACTCCCCACAGTGGAGATCTGTAGCTCTGGTCCCTTGGGAACGCCAGCTGCTGCTTCCGAGGTGCACCAGCATTTCCCACAAAAGCATCTCTCGAACTTGTGAGCTCCATAAAACACAGGGCGCGTCGCCCATCTGCAGCTTCAGCCCTGCTAGACAACAAACTCAGGGGGAAAAGCAGCCTCCTTTACAATGCCCTAAAGAGCTCTCAAGTGTGTTATGTTTTATTCAGGCTCGGGCTCGGAGCCTGGAGGAGGAGGAGGAGGAGGAGGAAGAAAGAGATTCTCCTGTGAGTGTCACTCGGGCCGCGTGATTGCATGCAGCGCTCGGCTCCCTGTGATTAAACCCCCCCACCACCCCTGCTTGTTATTCACATCGGCATAAAAGCTATTGAGGCGCCGTCCACGCCGGCGTGCGGGGGACAAACAACAAACACGCTGTTCCTCCGGTTTGAACAACCAACCCACCTCTGTCCCCGGCAGCTGACGCGGGCCCGGCGCCGCCGCAGAGCTCCCGGCGCGTGTCGTGACACAGACAAAACCCTGCCCCACCTGGGGCAAAATCCTGCGCTACCAACGGGGGTGGGAAACAACGCTCCGCAGGTAGAGCAGCTCTCAGGGATGAGCTTGGACACCAGGAGTCTGGACACCAAGAGTTTGGACACCAGGAGTTTGGACACCAAGAGTTTGGACACCAGGAGTTTGGACACCAGGAGTTTGGACACCAGGAGTTTGGACACCAGGAGTTTGGACACCAGGAGTTTGGACACCAAGAGTTTGGACACCAAGAGTTTGGACACCAAGAGTTTGGACACCAAGAGTTTGGACACCAAGAGTTTGGACACCAAGAGTTTGGACACCAAGAGCGGAGTCCCTGCATTTTACTCTGCCCACAACTGGAGCTGCCGCCAAGCGGTCACCGAAACCTGCACTGAGAACAACTTAACAAGTGTTTCATGCCGGCTTTTTACTTGGTTTTACCTGAAGATACACGATGCAGAGGTTGATGACACATTGGCCTGTGGGATACTAGTTCTTTAAAATATTTCTGTTATGTTCAGGTTTCTAAGTCACTTTGTTCCACTCCCCACTAAGTATTTCTTTTAAATCAGATTTTGGCAGTC